CATCTTTTAAGAAACCGTTTTTGTTTCTCATAACATAGAATTTTTTTTTCCTTTCAAATGTATGTAACAAACAAACTCACTGCTGTCTAGTTGGTCCTGACTCATAGCAACCCCTCCTTGGATTTCTGAGGCGTTATCTCTACAGAGGTAGATTGCCCAACCTTCCTTCCGAGGAGTGGCTGGTGGGTTTGAACCACCAGCCTTTTAGTTAGGAGTCAAATGCCTTGGGAACTGTGCCACCAGAGCTCCCTTAGATATATACTTTTCCAATATAAAGTGTTTTTCCTCCTTTTAAAGGTTCTTTGGCAAGCAGTCAAAACTTTTATGTTTCTCCCAGTCTTTCTGCTCCACCTGCTGGTCAGCCCTTGGTATACCATCAGGGTCCTTGGTTGATGTGGCCATGGACCCAACTTTTTTCCCACTGCGCCACTGGGTGGGTTCGAACTGCCAATCTTTTGGTTAGCAACCACGAGCTTAATAATTGAGCCACCAGGGCTCCTTTCAGGGTCCCTAGGCCCAAATTTTAGTATTTCTTTTTTGAGCAGTTGTAACTATTTATCTGGTAGCATAGTGGCTAAGGCACTTGACTGCTAACCAGAAGGCTGGCGGTTCAAATCCACCAGCCACTCCTGGGAACGAAGATAGGGCAATCTACGTCCGTAGTGATACTGCCTCGGAAACCCACGGAGGGGTCGCTATGAGTCGGGTCAGACTCGATGACACATAACAACAACAACTATTTATCAGGAGCTCTGGTAGCGTAGTGCCTAAGGCACTTGACTGCTAACCAGAAGTCTGGCTGTTCAAACCCACCAGCCAGTCCTCGGAAGGAAAGTTGGGCAATCTACTTCCATGGTGATACTGCCTCAGAAACCCATGGAGGGGTCGCTATGAGTCAGCTCCAACTTGATGGCCCATAACAACAACAACTATTTATCAGAATGGATATTTCATGACTTTTATTCTTTCTTAGAGGGCTTCAAAATATGAAAGACACAATTTACTTATTTTAAAAAAACAACAGGATATATAATTACCTTATGGATTCCCTGGAATTTTTTTACAAAAAAAAATAGGATTTTTTTTTCAATTGTAACAGAAATTAATTTAACAAAATCATTGCCAATTCTGTAATTTTTACATGTATAATTCAGTGATAATGCTTACTTTCTAGATGTGCAACCAATCACCACCACTATCCTTTTCCAAATTATTTCACCACCATGAACATAAACTAAAAAAAAAAACCAAACTCACTGCTGCCGTGTCAGATCCAACTCATAGCGACCCCTCCTTGGGTTTCCAAAGCGGTATCACTACGGAAGTAGATTGTGCCATTTTCCTTCCAAGGAGTGGCTGGTGGGTTTGAACCACCAGACTTCAGGTTAGTAGTCAAATGCCTTAGGCACTACATTACCAGAGCTCCCAAAAGAAACTCAGTGCCCCCTAAATAATAACCCTCTTTTTCCCCTTCCCTTCCATCCCTAGCAACACTAACTTTGTTCTCTATACCTTGCCTATCTCATATGTGCAGAATCACAAATTATTTGTCCTTTTGTGACTTACTTTTCTTAGCATAACGTTTTTCAGGTTCATCCATGTTGTAGTGTATGTGAAGACTTCATTTCTCTTTAAGGCTGAGTAATATTCCACTGTATGTTATGTACTACATTGTGTTTATCTATTTATCTGGTGATAAGACTATTCATTCATAGGTATGGACTTCACAAAATAGTTTGACAAGAACTTGGGCTATTTTGCTGAAAGGATGTGACAATATTCTTTCACCCTTTATGATGTTTGTGTGCCAACACTTACTCAGTACAGTTTATAAGCAAACAATGTGGACTTTGGTGTAGATACAAACTGGACAGAAAAGGACGATGTAGAAACGAACAAAAATCCTTGGATTGGAGACATAACAATGAAAAGCATCCACTCTACTCAGACGATAAATGGTGAAAACTGTTTTTCCAGCATATTGAAGATTAAAGAATTATAACACAGAGCTGACATTTAGCTGATGTTCCCAAATATATATCTCTATTTGAAAACACAGTCCTCCCTTGGTATCAGTATCTGTAGGGGATTAGTTCCAGGACCCCTTGCAGATCCGCAGATGTTCAAGTTCCTGACAATAATCTACATATCCTCCCATACACTTCAAGTCATCTCTACATTACTTTAACACCTAACAGAGTGTAAATGCTATGTAAATACGTAAATAGCACCTTCTGCTCCCTCTTAGTCTTTGAGGGACTTCTAAGGAGCTGCTTTTCTTTCCCTTCCCCTGACTTGGTTCCGGTGTGCTTTATCTATTTTATAGAATTTAATTATATAACCAATTAACTAATAAGTTACTATAATGCCTGCTTCCTCTGTATCAGTTAGCCATATGGACTTGCAGATCTCTTCTACATAGTCACACATATGTGTCCCAATCATATTACTCTATTTTTAAGATTTATGATATTACGCTTTATGTATATTTATGTACTGGCTTTTTTTCACTCAACAATCTATCTTACAAACTTTCCCATATAAGTATGTATAAATATACTTCATTATTCTTAAACTGCCACAGGCTAATTCACAGTATGGCTGTTAGCATTGTTAAGGTAACCATTCTCCTTTAATAATGGGCATTTAAAGTTGTTTCCAGTTTTCATTGTGATAAACAATACTGCAAACGTACAAGTATTTTTGTGGAAATAGACTTAAAGATACAGATTTTTTAAACATATGGTTTGGGCATCTATAAAACTACTTTGCAAACAGCTGTACCAGTTAAGGGTCCAATTAAGAGTATGCTTGGTTTCCAGGCTTGGCTCTGGATTTACAGCCTATATAATTTTAGGAAAATTACTTAACTTCTCCATGTCTGAGTTTCCTTCCTTGTAAAGTAGGTATGTAATAGTAGCTACCTCTGGGTTGGGAGTAACTTCTTCAATTCGTGGGAAACACACAGAACAGTTCCTTTGGGTTGGGTAGTGCTGAGAGCTGCCGTTACATCAGCTCTGACTCATGTAGGGACCTTGTGAGTAACTCAAACACTGCCCAGTCCTCCATCACCCTCACAATTTGGGGCATGTTGGAGCCCACTGCTGCAGTCACTGTGCCAATCCATCTTGTAGAGATTTTTCCTTATTTTTGTTGACCTTCTACTTTACTAAACACGATGTTCTTCTGTAGTGACTGGTCTTTCCTAATGATGTGTTTAAAGCAAGACAACTCTCCCCATGCTCACTTCTAAGGAGCATTCTGGCTTTACTTCTTCCAGGAAGGATCTGTTTCTTCTCCTGGAAGTCTATAGTATACTGAATATTCTTCACCAACATCACAATTCAAATGTATCAGTTCTTCATTCTTCCTTTTTCACTGTCCAGATTTCACATGCATAAGACAACTGAAAAGACCATGGCTTGGGTCAGACACATCTTAGTCATCAAAGTAACACCTTTGCTTTTTTGACATTTTAAAGAGGTCTTTTGCAGCAAATTTTCCTGTGCAGTACGCCATGTGATACCCTGACTGCTGCTTCCATAGGCATGGACTGTTGATCCTTGACAACGTCAATTTCCTTGCAATTGTCAGCAGTAAATGCTCAATAAATGTTATTACTTGTGAGGCAGATCTTATTTTCATAATTTATGGACCATTTATCTTTTCTCATTTGTGAATTTTCAGTTCTTGTTTGTCCATTTCCAACAAGTTGTTAATTTTTTTTCTTGATATCTAAGATTATAAATTCTATTATTACATTACAATATTTGTTATATATTTTGCAAATATTTTTTCCTAATTTGGCACTTAGATTTGTGTGATTATTTTATTAAAGTATTTATTTTTAAAATAATCAAATTATTCACCTTTTCCATAAGACTAACACTTTCATATATTTTAAAATATTTAGTTCTTTAATCAAAGTGTGATTTAGTTTTGCAAATGAAGCGTGGCTGGGGGCTCTAGCCTTATTTTTTTCCAAAGAGCTAATTTCCCAAATGCAATCCTTTCTTCCACTGATTTGACATACCAGTTTTAATCATAACCAAATCCCATACAGGTATTAGTCTCTTTAGGCTCTCTAATCTGTTCTACTATATACTAGTTTTAAACAATACCACATTGCTATAAATAATTATAATAGCTTTAGACTGTGCTTTGCTACAGAATAGAGCAAATATCTTACCTTGTTCTTCTTTCTTAATGCTTTTTAAACTATTTTGGAGCATTTATTCTTCCTTCCAAGTTTTAGAACCATGTTCTTGAATTATATGAAAACTTATTTTGTGATTTACACATGTCTTACAGGTTCAACCACCATCTTTATGCTAATGGCTCTAAAGGATAATCTTCATGACCAACCCACATCTCTATCCTGAGATCAAAGCACTTTTTAATAAACTAAATGATATCTTCAAATGTAAGTTGGACTCAGCAGCATTCAACCTTGCCTCTTGAATCAGCTTTTCTTTCTATAATCCATTATATAACAGCTTCTTCTCAATCAACCAAGCCAAAAGCCAGGGAGTGGCACTATTGCCTCTTCCTTACTGCCCTACACCTTCCCAGCCAACCAGTCAAGGCCTGTTAAATTCATAACCCTCTTAGTCCCTCCACCGCCTCTATTAGCTGTTGAAAGGTATCTAGCATCTGGCTCATTACTTAACAAAAAGACCAAAACAAGTTTTCAATTGGGAGCTGGCACTAATAATAGAAAAAGACAAAGTTTTAAGTAAACTAATATATCCTATCAGGAGCTCTGGTAGCATAGTGCCTAAAGCATTTGACTGTTAACCAGAAGGCTGGTGGTTCAAACCCACCAACCACTCCTCGGAAGTAAGACTGGGCAGTCCACTTCCATAGTGATACCGCCTCGGAAACCCAAGGTCACTGTGAGTCGGATACGACTTGACGGCAGTGAATAATATATCCTATCAGCAACAAATTCAGTGACAAATACTTTCCCTCAAGTTAACAAAAAGATGTAAAAGACTTACTTAAATGGAGTAAACAAAAATGATAACGTAACTTCTTTTTTCTGAGTCATTTTCACCTAGGAACCAAGTATGAAAATATTTTAATATATTACAAATGAGGAAAAAATTTATTTGATTTTGAAATATAAACATCTAGTACATCACTTTCCAAAGATGGCTAAGTACTTTGAAAATAAATGGAATTTTGTTACTGTATTATTTCATCAATATTGAAAAATATTTAACATTATCTTGCTATTATATTAATCTGAGAACTAAGCATGTCAAGTCTCTAAAATAACGTACTGGAATGTAATTAAAACTGCATTTTTTATAACTCTTAAAAAACAAAAGGAATCAATCTGAATTAAAAGTGTTAAAAGGCTGACTGACAGTTTTAGTTAAGGGCCACCTCTTTTAACTCTGTAAAGTATATGCTAATGTAAACAGAAGGACAAGAAATGTCATCTCTAATTGTACTTCTATGGGGCAAATCCCCATAGAATCCTAATATAGACATGGCTGCTAGTCTTCCTAAGCATATGTGGTAATCTTATAATTAGGAACACTCCTCAAAAGTAAATCAATATCCATACAGTAGCTCATGGAATCCACACCTCAGAAATGTGTAACTTTATATATGAAATGTAAAGTAACCTGCTATAGAAAATAATTCATTAAAACACAAAAATGAAATATTTTCACTTAATACATGATTTTAAATTTACAGTGTTCTCCACTTTTGTGTGTGAGATTTTTTTTTATACCTTGAACTGTTCAAGAATCTGGACTGCATTTGTAAGCATGCTCTCAGCTTTGAAGAGATCAGTGTTGTTAAGATAATCCACAGGAAGGATTCCCTGCAAATAAGAAACAATCCCCAATTAAGAAACATTACATAGACATACATACAAGAAAATACAGTTTTAAATATAATCGAAGTTGATACTGAAACAAACACATACGAAAGTGTAAATTTTACTGTACAATAATTTTTTACAAAACTGACAGCTGATAATAAAATTTTCTTCCTTACCACTGAATTAAGGGGAAAGGGAACTCCAATCAGAGAAGCCATCAATGGTGCGATGTCAGCCTACAAACAGAAAAAAGTTCAATTCTAAAACATCTACAAGCAGCTCTGGTAGCATGGTGCCTAAAGCATTTGACTGCTAACCAGAAGGCTGGTGGTTCAAATCCACCAACTGCTCTGCAGAAGGAAGATGGGGCAATCTACTTCCATAAAGATTTACTGCCTCAGAAACCCAAAGCAGGATGACTATGAGCTGGAATCAACTTGATGGCAGTGAGTTTGGTTTTTTGGAAGAAGTCTACAGGTGCCAATAAGATAATAAACAATTTAATCCAACTATATTTTTGAACACAACCATGAAATTTCTTATAATCCATTATCATTAAAATATTTAATATAAACTAGATGCTGACCTCTAAAAATGTCATTTGCTAGAGGTACATGAACTTAGGAAAAATAATTTTGAAAGAAACTGTTAAGACTCCCAAATGTAAAATACACGAACTTTACCATTTTATGTAACAGTTTTTTCCCCCCAGTATTATGCAATAGGATGTCCTAACTATACAGAAAATACGAAGACAATAGTACAGCTGAACAATGAATAAGGAAGACCAAAGAAGAATTGACGCCTTTGAATTACAGTGTTGGTAAAGAATACTGAACGTACCCCGGACCACGAGAAGAATGAGGAAATTTGTCTTGGATAAAGTACAGCCAGAATGCTCCTTGGAAAGGGAAAAGGAGAAACAGTCCCATGGACTTTGAACATGTTATCAAGAGGGACGAGTCCCTGGAGAAGGACATCATTCTTGGAAAAGTAGAGGGTCAGCAAAAAAGAGGAAGACCTTGAACGAAATGTATTGACACAGTGGCTGCAATGATGGGCTTAAACACAGCAATAATTGTAAGGATGGTACAAGGCACCAGGCAGTGTTTCATTCTGTTGTATACAGGGTCATTATTAGTTGGAACCAACTCAACAGCAACAAACAATAACAACAAAAAAACCTTCAACTGGAGAAAATGTATGTATTAACAAAAGAAATAAAGTATCTGTAAGAAGACTAGGTCAGCCAGTGAAATTCAGAAAAGATATAAACCACAGATGAGGTTCTTTAGCTAATGTTGTTGTTGTTATGTGCCATTGAGTTGTCACCAATTCATAGCGACCCCTCCTTGGGTTTCCGAGGCAGTATCACTAAGGAAGTAGATTGCCCCATCTTCCTTCGGAGGAGTGGCTGGCGGGTTTGAACCACCAGCCTTCCGGTTAGCAGTCAAATGCCTTAGGCACTATGCCACCAGAGCTCCCTCTTTAGCGAACAGACCCTAAATTCCACTTTAGACATCTCTCCTTTGCAGCCCAGTTTCTCAGAAGAGTTGTTCAGGCTTTCAGTCTCCACTTCCTCATGTCCTCATTACTCTCAGCCCACTGTAAACTTGCTTTGATTATTTATCATTCTGCAGACCACTCTCCCTAAGAAAGCCAACAACCTCCATTGTTCTAAACCTAATTGACTGTTTTATAATTGGCCTTTATAATTTTCAGGTAGTAACAGGCTTTGAAGTTAGAATGTCCATGCTTCAATCTCTGAGACCCTGGGCAAGTTACTGAACTTCTCCAACATGTCAGTTTCCTTGCAGTTAAAAAAAAGGTTAAAGTGTCTGCCTTACAGAGTTACGTCAGGGTGAAACAGGACGGCACTCACAAAGCGCCTGGCACCTAACAACCACACAGCAAGGGGCTACTTCTGTTGTGCGGTTATTACTTGGCCTCTCAGCGGCACTGTGCAGACCGCTCCCTCCTGACGTGCTCTCCCCGCCCAACCTCTGCTAAGCTGCTTTCACATCGCCCGGCTGCTCCTTTCTGGATACCTGGCTTTCACCCCCCATTTCAAGTTGGAATTTGTCAAGTTTGGTCCTAGGCCTTCACTTCTTTATACTTTTTACCATGTGAACTGTCTTACTAAGTGCCATCCCTCAGTAAACTGGGTCACTCTCACAGCCTCCTCCCCGTCCTTAAACCCAGTGCTGGCCTCCTCTAATCTGTTCTCCACCTGCAAGCAGAGGAGTATTTCCACCAAAGATCAGATCATGTCACTCTCCAGGCTTCAAACACATCAAGGGCTTCCTGAGCAACTAAGGTAAAGACCATGAGACCCACGAGGCCTTGCATGGTCTGCTGCTACCTCTGCCTCACACCACACCACCGTATCTGCTGCTCTGTAATCAGCTTTAAGGTCCTTTAACGCCACGTACCCTCTACCCACAGCTCCGTGCACATGCGGTTCCCTCTGCTCGAAAGCCTTCCTCTACCACCTTAGCCCCGTTAACTCTTCTCTCTCTACAGCCTCAGCTCCATCCTCACTTTCTCGCAGCCTCTCCTGATGGTGCAGTCCAGCCGATACATCCAGTCTATACTCACGTGGCTTCATAGGTCTCTTCTGTAGTCCTTACCACAGCTATCATTTTACAGTTTTTGTATGATTATTGGATTGGTGACAGTCTCGTCCCTAAACCATAAGCTCCCAGGTTGGGAACTGTGTCTGCTTTTACTCACATATACCCTTACGTATCACACAGACACTTACACACTGCCAACACAAGACAATGTGTGTGAAAGAAACAAACAATTCTCAACTTCTAATGAAGATTTGAATGCAGGAATGACTATTTAGATAACAACAGCCAACTTCAGTAAACAATTTTCTGATTATAATGTGGCCTGACTATGAGTAAAAGAGGCTCTTGTGACGTGGACTTCCTGTCCTTTGACAGGGCTTTCTTA